CAGTAGGGGTTGTATGAACTAGTCGACTTCACTATAGTGACTTTTTATGCCTGTCGTCGACTAGTCGCTGTCACGTGATAATGGCCGGCAAGATGCAGCCCTCGGAAAAGATAGAAGCCTGCTGTCAGCAGGTGACAAGCTCCTGCGCTCAGGGGGGCAACGCGCTGTGCCAGAGCGTCGGTACTGACACGCGATCGTTCATGTCGGTTCATTTCCTTTAATGTTTTCTGTCTTTTATTTGCGCCTGATGTGTTTCGCTGCTGTGGAGCGGGGCGCATCACCTTGTCCTCCGGTGACGCACCGATCACTGATGCGGCCGCCAAGCAGGGAGCACTCCGCTGTTTTTGCGGTCGGTAGATCTGCGTCCTGAGCACGGCCACAGTAACATTATCAAATCAGGTGTCGCCACCTCAAAAAGTAATTTAACACGCGATCGTTCATGTCGTTTCATTTCCTTTAATGTTTTTTGTCTTTTATTTGCACCTGATGCGTTTCGCTGTGGAGCGGGGCGCATCACCTTGTCATCCGGTGACGCACTGCTCACTGATGCGGCCGGCAAGCAGAGAGCACTCCGCGGTTTTTGCGGTCGGTAGATCTTTTAGAACTGCAGCTCAAAGGTAACTCATAAGGTGAATATATATGAAGCCAGGTAGCAGTTTCTCTTTAGGATTGAGAGGAGATGCAGGAAGATAATAAACAGGCAGGACAGAAAAATAGTCAAATAAAAACAAGTTAGTTTTTGTACCTGGTGGTTGCAACAAACAGACACCATTGAAGGTAATCAGAAGTGAGGAACACCAGTACAGAAAGACAGATTGCAGATATATGTAAGGGGTGTGACAATGTGATTAATAATTTCCTTTACTAACCTCATATCTAAATTACTGCAATCAGTTAAACTTTTGTTTTCAAATTTATTGACAATATTTATTATTTCAATGTCTTCTACACCCCTTAAAAATAGCAAACTGGGGTTACAATTAGATATGGACTCAGTATTATTTTTTTCATTTTTACTTATAGGTGCTTTGAAAGCACCAGCTAATAATGGTCCAACCTCAACAAAATAACGATTGAAAGCATTGGCAATTTTCTTTGATATCAGTTATTTCATGATCTTCTTTAATAAATTAGTTTGGGAGTGCATTAACTTTTTTTCCATTCCATTAAATGGTATAATTACCATTTAATATTTTCCACATTCCTCGTGTATTATTCTGGTGTTGTTCTAATAATTTATGATAAAAAAAATTATTCATGCGTATTATATTTATTAATTTATTTGTATATGTCTTATCTTTCTTCAGCACTTTTAGTTCTTTGTTTTAAATATATTCTGTAAAGATGATTTTTCTTCTTACAAGCCTTAACTATGCCATATGTTATCCAGGGCTTTTTTTATTTTAATATTATTTTCAGTAATATATGGCTTCAATGGGCAGTGTTTATCACAGAGTTTGGTCACTTTGGACAAGAAGGCATCATATGCTAGGTTGGGGTCCTCAGTAGAAAAAACTTCATCCCACGTCTGAGCAGAAAGATTTGCCTTGTATGCAGCCAGGGCTTCGGGTGTTCTACGTTGAACCAATTTCTGTGTAATCGTTTCAGGATTTTGAGCATAATGTACTATTTGATGAAAAACACTAAATACCGGTAGATAGTCACTTATATCATTAACTAGTAATCCCGCTGTAATTTGTCTGGATATCTCATTAGCGAATACATTGTCGATCAGTGTGGCAGTTGTAGTTGTAATTCGAGTAGGTTTAAGGATAAGTGGGAGAAGGTTCTTACTGTACATTGTTGTAATAAAATTAGATATTTGTAAGTTATCATGAGGGTTGAGAAGGTCAATGTTAAAGTCACCACATACAATATGATCCTTGTTTAAACTTACAAACAAGCTACCGACTTCCTGATTAAAAGGATTTAGACAGACAACTAACAATGATGGGCTTAGTTCCTTCAATAGCAATTTCAACACTGATACACTCCATAACCTCATCAGTAATAATTGTCTTTTTGTCAGAAGACTTACACCTCAGGTTTATATCCACATACAGTGCAACCCCACCACCTTTTTTCTTGTTCCTATTTAAAGTAAATAATTCATATCCCTCGATTTCCACACAGGAACCCTTTTCATTGTCCAACCACGTCTCTGAGAAAGCAATAACAGAAAAATTTGGTAAGTGACTCAGATACTCTTTAACCTTATCATAGTTTTTATGCAAACTTCTACAACTGAAATGAATGACAGAGAAGGCTCCCACCATATTGATCTCTTTAAACTCCTCATCACTATAGTATTTACAATCAGTCAATGGCTCTTTATTAAAATTACCATCAAACTCTAAATCGCTTCCAAAATCATTCATTTTGTGGTGCAAAGAGTCATAAACATTTTGAAGTTGTTTACCATGGAGTAAATATGTGTCCTCCTAATAGTCAGAATCGGTAGTGGTGCATCACGTGGAGTAGATGTGATTGCAGAAACTTTCCACATGCACAACACTGGGATTAAATGAGTAAACCCAGCCCCCTTTGAGCAAATATCTCAGATACACCCAATAATGCAATCACGGTTCATATTAAATTAATGTCTACAAATCTGAGACCATGGTGTTGAGCCAGAAAAGGTTACAATGCTTTCTCCAGATCACGGAGAAGGATGTCTGGGCCTCTCACACCCTCTGCTTAGGCTGCTGCCCCGTGACCCGACCCCGGATGAGCAAATGAAAATGGACGAATGGATGGATGGGTTTTTATTTTTTTTACCTTCATTTTATGATGTCATAATTTGCTGATGTTATACACTGATGTGTTTAGCATTATTGTGATAATGTCACATACACTACATTTAATAACTCAACTTCCTTCAACTATTTTTGTTACTAAAAATTGCATTCATGCTTAAAAAAATTGGACATTTTTGTCTTTTATTTTTAAAGTGGCTCTCATTGTCATAGGAAGGACAGTTTACTCTCAGGTTCCTTCAGGGTGCAGAATGTGCACTCTCACATTCACATAGAGCTCCATTTTGCCAAAGCTCATTATTTTCTCTTCCATACTGGAAGTAAAAAGGCTTTTTAACATGTACCTCTCACAAAAATTCATTTTATCGCTTTTTTAATTTTAAATATGGCTGATCCTTGAGTTTTTCATGATTCATGATTGAAAATTTTGCAGGCCCACATTTGACAATTTGCACACAAAAAATAACAATAATTTTGACAGTTCTTTGCATTGTGTCTGTAGATGTTGGTTCTTTTAAAGTCCATTTATATATAATTGTGTTGATTCTTCTGTATGCACACAGCCTAATTGAGTTTAAAGTAGTAAGACCGCGTGTATTGTGTAAGAGCATGTCTTAAAGAGCGTCCGTCTGCTTATCTGTCTATAAAGATGTCTACTGTGCTGCTATGGAACTCACTCAACATGAGATCATTGTTTTAGAAAACAACATGGATTGTGTTTCAATCTGAGCTCTCATTACTCATGTGGTAAATGAAGGTTGTGTGTGCATGCGTGTGTGTGTGTGTGTGTGTGTGTGTGTGTCTTTGTGCAGGAAGCACCTGTTTCACTCAGAGAAAGGAACATATCCCACACACAAAGAGTGACATATCCCATTTCCTGTTGTTCTTTCTTTTTACTCATTGTTTCGCTGAAATAAAGACAAAATGCGGCCTTGATATCACAACATCAGATTACAAGGCAAGGCATTCAGAGTCAGGGACAAGGAAGGCGAGCATGCTGGGTGGCACACACTGGACAGGGTTAAATGAATGCACAAAAAATTATGTAGATCACACATCCTTACAAAATTCAGACCAATAAATAAACAGAGATTAAAAAAACAGAAAGTAACTTGGATTAAAAACTTGTGCTCAGATAGAAAACAACAGCGTGTCCTCTGTGACTCTAAACAAGCCTTGAGATTCTTTATCATTTCCAAATATTCCTGCCATGCAGTCCTTTGTACTTTCTTTCCATGCGGTAGGCATCCTGAGTGCAGTATCCTTGACCATTAAGCCAGTAAAACCTCACCAACTTCCCAGAAACTAAATAAAACATTTGTGAATTCAGGCAGAAGGAGAAAGAGCCAGCTCTCATATTCAGATTTCTCGCAGCCAACTCAATCAATGAAGAATAGGATAGCACATGAAAACGTGACCCCTCGGTTTTCATACAACAAAAATGCAATATATTTCTCCTCTTAGTGCAAAACGAATGTCAACTACAGCACCCTGCCATGTGTGTCAATATCAAACAAGTGCCCCCCCCCCCCCCCCCCCCCCCCCCATTGCCAATAAATCACAGGTGCAATTCATCAGCCAACTCTAGGAGTCAGTATTCCTAATTAAAAAGGAGCTCGTAAATTTGACATTTTACAGGTCCTGCTCAGCTTGTAAATACACTGTAAATAAGAGAGTGGCTTCATGGGCAGATGAAGGTCTGAGTTTGTGGTTAAACTCCCGCTGATGTCTTCAATGAACAGCAGGCTGATCGCAATTAATCCCAACATTGAACGGCGCTCGTTTGTCTGTGCACCTTTAATCCCACTCGATCCCGTCCCCTTCTTCTCTCCTCGCTTCTCTTTATGCCCGCTGCATATTGTGTGCTCTTCCATATTCTTTTTGAAGCTTGGTCAAATCAGATTGGATTAGCACTTTCAGAGGACACATTTGTCGGGCCAATTAGAGCACTTCCTGGCACAGATGGAACCCTGAGATCTCGGGGGAAAATGCCGGGTCGCATTTGGGTTCTGAAAAAGCAAAATGTATACTGTGGAGTCTGCAAAAAAAAAAAAAAAAAAAAAACACTAGACCAGCTGTGTGTAAGTATTTACGCGGCGATCCCTTCAGGCTTGAATATGCCTGCTGTTAAAAAGGACGTGTTCTGACCAACAGCCTGGGTAAATAGGTTTAAAGTTAGAGATGGATGGTGTGTATTTATGCTCGCTCTCTCTCTCTCACACACACACGTTCACACTTTCCTACCTTTTGTATATTTTCTTTTGTCGAAGTGAAATCAAACGGCAGAGTCACATCTCAGAGGCAGCTGGATGTCCTAGACCTGAGGAGATGAACGATTGGGAGGAGGTAGAGAAACACAAGGGGGGGATGGGTTATTCAAGCTCACTGAACTGTCATTTCTCACAATAGAGACAGATAGCTACAATATGTGGTGAATGTGGGGTGCCATGTGAATAATGGCCCCATCCAGACTGTGTGAATAGCCATAACCCACTCCAACACGAGAAGCAGACAGTTCACAAGCCACTTTGGCTCATGATTGCTTGTTTGGTGTTGTTATGTGTCTACACCCGTGGGTACATGTGTGATCTGCCTCATAATGACCCCTTAAGTGTCGAGGTATCAGAAACTATAATGGTTTATCTCTGCTGTTGCTGGCAGCTTCCAGTGAAAAAAGCTCTCTCATGGCATGATAACTGGTTTAGATGATTAGCATGTCAGCATCAAAAGCCAGGGACAAGGGGAATTGTCAGCTCTGTTTCAGGGATGAAGAAAGGTAATCATTCAAATTTAGAAAAGGCTCGCCTCTTTTTCTATTTGTGCCATTTAACCTTTTTTTTCCACCTCTGAATTTGATTTTTTTGCACACACAAACGTCATTCCTCTCCTTTTTTTATCTTCACGGGCTTTCTTTTTTATTTAAAACAAGATCTGCTGCGTTTTTGAGCGCCCTCAGTCTTTCTCTTCACCCCTAACCGCGTTCCTTTAAGAATAAACTTTGCAGCCACATCTCAGTGTGTCCATTTGAAGTGCTTTGTCGTGTGGCCAAAGTGACGCACAGACTTCTTTTTCTCGTGCACATCTGCTGGCAAGCTCACTGCAGTCAATAAGCATGCTGCTGTTTCCAGGGGAAAAAACACGATTAAGCCCAGTAAATGGCATATCTCTGCTTGGCCTTGGATTTTCTATCAGCCTTTGTCTGACTGCTATGAAAGAAAAATCCAAGCTTTCAAGAGCAAGTGTACCGTTCATACACAAAAATCTGGACCAAAAATTTGACTTCTGCTGTGTAACGGGTTTGTACCGGAGCAACACATCCAGGTACAACGAAAACACAAAACCAGTTTATTCTTTAGCTTGTACCAGTGCATATACCATGTAGCATCAAACAATTATTTAAATGATGCCACCACTGCTTCCAACAATCCATCCAACCATTCATTTTCTTCCACTTATCCAGAGTCAGGTCACAAGGGCAACAGCTTAAATTGAGAGGCCCAGACTCCCTCTCCCCAGCTACTTGGGCCAGCTCTTCTGGGGGAATTCCGAGGTGTTCCCTGGCCAGGCGAGAGACAGTCCCTCCAGCGTTGCCTGGGTCTTCCTTTCGGTCTCCACCCCATTGGACGTGCCCAGAAAGGGAGATGTCCAGGGGGAGTCCTAATCAGATGCCCGAAGCACCTCAACTGGCTCCTCTCGATGTGGAGGAGCAGTGGATCTACTTTGAGTCCCTCCCGAATGACCAAGCTTCTCACCTTATCTCTTTAAGGGAGAGCCGAGCCACCCTGAAAATAAATTTTGGTCGCTTGTTGTATCCACGATCTCATTCTTTCAGTCACTGCCCAAAGCTCGTGACCATAGGTGAGGGTTGGAACGTAGATCAACCAGTAAATAGAGAGCTTCGCCTTCTGGCTCAGCTCTCTGTTCACCACGACAGATCGGTACAATGCCTGCATAACTGCAGACACAGAACCAATCTGCCTGTCGATCTTGAGCTCCAGCTTTCCCTCACTCGTGAACAAGACCCCCTGACCCGGAGATGGCATTCTACCCTTTTCTGACTCAAGACCATGGTCTCAGATTTAGAGGAGCTGATTCTCATCCCAGATGCTTCACACTTGGCTGTGAACCGCTCCAGTGAAAGCTGAAGATCACGTTCTGATGAAGCCAACAGGACCACATCATCTACAAAAAGCACTGACCTGATCCTCAGGCCACCAACAGAGATCCTCTCACCACCTAGAAATCCTGTCCATAAAAGTTATGAACAGAATCGGTGACAAAGGGCAGCCTTGGCGGAGTCCAGCTCTCACCGGAAACTAGCTCAACTTACTGCCGGCAATGCGGACCAAGCTCTGACACCGGTCATACAGGGACCTAACAGCCCATATCAAAGGTCCTGGTACCCCATACTTCAGAAGTACCCCAAAAGGCCCCCTGAGGGAGGCAGTCAAACGCCTTCTGCAAATCTACAAAACACCTGTAGATTGGATGGGTAAACTCCCACGCATCCTCCAGGACCCCCCTAAGGGTATAGAGCTGGTAAAGTGTTCCACGGCCAGGACAAAAACCACATTACTCCTCCTGAATCCAAGAGTCGACAATCAGATGGACCCTCTTTTCCAGAACCCCTGAATTGACCTTACTAGGGAGGCTCAGGGGTGTGATACCCCTGTAGTTGGAACATATCCTACAGCCCCCCTTTTTAAATAGGGGAACCACCACTGAGTATGCCAGTCCAGTGGAACTGCCCCTGATTGTCATGACACCCATCCTTCACCCTCATTTCACCTTCATTCAGCTCACCTGGTCCCTTCACCAAGCTCCTGACAAGCTCTGTTTCCCTGGCAACCACAATCAACTCCATTCTTCTCACCTGCTCCTGTCATCAGCTTCATCCACTTCACCTGCTCCTGACTCCTCAGCTCATCTCACACACCTGCTTCCCCTGCTATAAAAGAACCATCCACCTATCCAGTCTCTGCCAGATTATTACAACCCTGCCAGTGATTTCTCCAGCGTTTCGCCCTGCCTCATCTCTGCCTCCGGACCTCGTTCTTTGCCTGGCCCCTGCCTTGTATTCTGCCTGCCATTTTGACCTTAGCCTGCTTACAGACTCTGTCTCCAGCCTCGTCCTCCTGGTAACTCTGCTTAAAATAAAAGATTTTTTTTTAATATATTTTTACTGTGTTGGCGCCTTCACGGGTCTTCTGAGTTCTGCTCATGACACTGATGTCCACGTGACCAGCATCCTCCCCCACCATCTGAGCCAGGTAGTGATCAGTTGACAGCTACGGCTCTCACTTTACCCGAGTGTCCAAGACACGCTGCCACAGATTAGACAAAAAGACAACAAAGTCGATCATCGAGCTGTGGCCTAAGGTAGCTTGGTGCCAAGAGCACATATGGACAGCTTTATGCCTGAACATGGCGTTCATTATGGACAAGCTGTGACTAGCACAGAAGTCCAATAACAAAGCACGACTGAAATTAAGATCAAGGGGGCCGTGCCTCCCAACCACACCTCTCCAGGTCTCACTGGACTCTAACTTTCAGGGCTCTACTTGATCAAGTTCAAGCTGGTTCCCAAAGTCAGAGACTCTCTTGGTCAGCTTGCTTCTCACACCAAACCTTCTGTCAGGAATCTTGGTGACCTTTGACCCAGCTCTCACCCTGGATTCTCATGTCAGTTCTCTTGTTTGCTCTTCCTTCTTCCATCTCAGGACCATTGCTAAGCCGAGTCCCATTCTGTCCCACTCTGAACTTGAGACAGTTCTCCACACCTTCATCTCCTCACGCTTAGACTACTGTAACTCTCTTTTCACGTGTCTGAGCAGAACCTCCCTGAACCGTCTACAGGTGGTTCAGAACGCCTGTGCTCGGCTTCTGACCAAGTCCTCCAAACACACCCACATCACCCCGCTTCTCCTCCAGCTTCACTGGCTGCCAGTCAACTTCAGGGTTCATGTCAAGATCCTGGTTCTGGTCTATAGGGCCTTACATGGAAAAGCACCATCTTACATTGGTGATCTTCTTAGTCCCTACACCCCCAGCAGGTCCCTGAGGTCCAGTGATCAAAGCCTACTGGTTGTGCAGCACCAGGCTAAAGGTCAAAGGTGACAGATCATTTGCTGCTGTGGCCCCCAGACTCTGGAACTCTCTCCCCCTGAGCCTGAGATCAGTGGACTCAGTGGTCTCCTTTAAAAAGCAGCTGAAGACTCACTTGTTCAAGCTGGCTTTTGTATGACCTTCTTCACCACTCTCTCTTTATTCTGCTCTCCCCACCTATTCCACCTTCCTCAGGATCCACTGATTTCCCTCTTTCCTGTTCACTCTCTCTCTTTCTTAACATTTTTTTAATCACAATTGCCTATTTTTGCTCATTTTAAATATAATTTTAAACATTTTCTAAATGCTTTTTTATATTTTTACAATTTTTTGTTTTTGTGAAGCGCCTCGTCATTTTTATCTTGAGAGGCGCTATAGAAATGATATTTTTTTCTTCTTCTTCAAGTTCCTCCCTATATTACTGAACTGTTAAAGCCTTAAGCCAGATTCATGCTTCTCCGTCTGCGTCAGTGCAGAGACACGCAACGTCCTTGCGGAGCTGCCGGAGAGCTCCGCAAGGACGAACGGAGTCGAGCTCTCTTTTCTAAACATCCGTCAGTCGAGACGGACAACGCAAGCTTGTGATTGGTCAGGACGCCGCTGTTGTCTACAGCGCCACCATTGCGCCCTCAAAAACACAGAGAGCCGAGGATAACTAGCGGCAGACACGGAGAAGCTTGAGGAATACCTCGCGAAAAAACTCTAAAAACATGAATGTTTAATTCCCCGTGACTGGAGGAGTAAAAAGATGTGCAGCAAGCGTTTTATTTGTGGACGGAAATGACAGGAAACGTGGGTTTAGAGGTGGGGAGCGCATGAAGAGGTGGAGGAGGATGAGAGACAAATTTGTCCGTGTTAAAAAGTCTCTTATATACAAAAAACACAATATAAACACACTATCTTGGACCGGTACATGACAGGATACCACAGAACAGCGCTACGCCCTCTGTTGTCCTGCCGGGGAATTTCTTTGCAACATTCCAGGAGACGGAGAAGTATGAGAGCAAAACGCTTCCGTCAATCCGTGCGTCTGTCCCTTGCGGAGCTGACGGAGAAGCATAAATCAGGCTTTATGCTCCAACCCGAGCCCTCAGGTCCACACATCAGAACCTTCTAGAAGTTCCAAAGACTAGATATAAAAGTCGAGATGATCGCTCCTTCCAGACTGTTTGGAGCAGACTTTGGAACAATCTTCCTGTATGACTGTCTGGACAC